CTTTAGACCGACATTTTGTTCTCCATCCTTTTTCTGACACTCTGCAACCAAGTGTCAGAAAAAAGGGGCACATAAATTTACATAAATATCAAGAGACGATATAAATACACTGACCTACATGCATGTATTCTATTTATAACTAGTGAACTTGACCTTCGATTTGACAGTAAAAATATCACATAGCCGTACAATATTTACTGGAAACCACTATTGAATTTAATTATATGGAAATCCCAGAATAAAAAAAAGCAAGAAACAAATATATACATCACAGTGCCGTGCTCAAATAATTACAAGATAAAGATGTAAAATGGCATCTTATGTAACAGTCGCAAGTGATTGGTTCAGAGTGCGTCTACAGCAACCGATACAGAACATTAAATTCGGTTTGTATTTATATTCAATATACTGTGTATAAACGAATCTGATACCTCCATTTGTTGATCCCTACTTGTGACACACCAGCAAACCAAGGATCCAGTATATATACACAACGGAAAGTGCTTGCTCCTTTGAAGGCTTCACAGAGAGCAGGATTGTCATGTAGGCGAAGGCCCTTTCTAAACCAATGAACAACGTACTTCTTAGGCGGCTCGTCCATATTTCGATTTCAGATTCAACAAGCTAGTAAATTTTGTATTATGTTCATCTTTTGCACTAAAAAGAATTCAATAAACCACTATATCTACATTAGTCAACTCGAAACTGCTTCAAACGTGAACGATTAATAGAATTAGTCGAGTTCTATGTTGATGGCTAAATTCAACAAACTGGAAAGAAAAGGTATAGAACCCGTCTACTTAAGGAAAAAAAATATAAATCCATGCCATTTTCAACGTGACTGTTCTACGTGCTAGTTTCCAATCACGTTGACTACAGCATGTCTATTGAATGAAACGCAGTTCTGCATACATTAAGCTGAGGCCAATCAAAAATGCGTAGATGTCATCTTAAAAAATTTGATCTTATATGTTAAGAAATATAATTATATTTTATTCGTACGATAGTTATCTATCATATCCTGTCTTAATTTATTGGCTAAGTTATCTATTCAAAATTCAAGGTAACATATGTGGGGTACTGAAAGGGAATGTGAGTCTTGTATCATATATTGACGGAATAATAATAATAATAATAATAATAATAATAATAATAATAATAATAATAATAATAATAATAATAATAATAATAATAATAATAATAAAATAATGATAATAATGGTGATAATGGTAATAATAATAGTAATAATAATAATGGTGATAATGGTGATAATAATAGTAATAATAATAATGGTGATGTTTGAAGTCTGGTTTAATATATTTAAGATATTTATATTGTTTAATAATTTAATCAGGACAGTCTTCTAAAACTCTCCATTAATCAATCATGTCATGTTTAATATGTGAATGTCTTGTTTCTTTTTTTTTTGACAAATACCTAAAAAAATTTTAAAAAAAGAATTTTTGTGTAATGAAGAAGATCTCAAAAAATGTTTTCAGTGATATCTTTCATCGGTAACTAACACTTTTACGTCCTAGATTTATATAGTTTTAATTTTTTGAGTAGCATACGGAAAAAACTGGTAAATACAACTGACACGACAACATAATTTAAATCAGTCGCCATCTATTGCACGAGGGACTTTCACTGTTCCTTAAAGTTTTCGTCAGAATTACCATCCTGGATAATCTCTTTACGGTTAGTAATATTGCATCTTCCAGAATGCCGTAAGACACCATTGTTAAGAAAATATTTAACAATGGTAATGAAGACTTTGTATAACGCCTAATCTTTAGAAGCTTAAAGCGTGCGACAACACATAGATAATGATATGATTACAACCCAACCACCCCAAAACACCATGAAATTAGAAAACAGAAAACATGCTAAAATTATTTAAGGTAAGGAACCATTATTAGGTCTAAGTCTGTTCCTGCGGTCGAAATAGGTGAGATTTAAGAGTGTTCTTGAATGAGATCACTGTGTCTTTGTGTCTAAGTGCAGTGGGAAATTCGTTCCACGCTGCTGTGCCATGGTATGCAAAAGAACGTTGTCCATTCGATTTCCTTTTCATAGGGGGGAATAATAAGAATACGAGTGTCTGAAGAGGAGCACAAGTATCTTGCTGGTGTGTACACATGGGTGAGGTCGGATAGGTATGTTGGACTGAAACCAGGTATTGAAACATAGCACACAAAAAAACAACAAATTTTGCATTTCGTTCTGGATCAAATAGATAGCCAGTATAGGGTACAGGGCAGGGAAGCACTGTTTGAAGTTTCTGAAGTAGATATTGAGACGAACCAGATAGATTGAGTTACAATAGTCCAGCCCTGAAAGTACTAATGAACACACAGGTATTTTAGTAGCATCAACTGAAAGATACTTGTGAATGGAGCTGATGAGTCTCAGCTCAAGATACGCAGCCTTGCATATGTCACGAACTGTTGGTGCAATGAAAGAGTTCTGTCGAGAGTAACATCTAGGTTTTGTGATGACTGTGTGAATTTAATGTTGGTGTTGCTGATATTTATTGTTTGAGGTAAATTATGTGAATGAGAAAGTCTTTGTGTTTTTTTTTTTTTCAGAATGGCTTTAGTTTTATCATCATTCATCTTAACTTGTTACAAGTTATATATGGTTTCACATCGGAAATGCATCTCTCTACACTTTGGAGGATAACATTAACTTCGTTTGGATGACTAGATTTGTAAATGTGTGTGTCATCTATGTACAATCGGCAAGACACATGAGAGCGGCCGAATGTATGCAATGATGAAAATATGTCCAGGAAAAGACCCCTGTGAAACACCACAACATTGACCAACTGGGCTGGAGTGTATTCCATTTGCAGACACAATTGTGTACTATTGACCAAGTAGGACTTGAGCCACAGTAAGGCTGTATCGTGAATGCCAGATACATGCTGGAGACGTTGAAGTAATATCATGGTCTATTGTGTCAAAAATGCTGCAGAGAAGTCAAATAGGGTAAGGACTCTAATCTTTCCTCTATCCAAAAACAAAGAAAAGGTCATTAACTACTTTCAGAAGAGTCGTTTCAGTACTGTAATAAGGGCGATACAATATACAGGGTGACTGTGCATGGTTAAAAAGACTGAATTCAGATGAGATACAAAGTTGGAATAGAACGTTTTCTTAGATTTTCGACATGAATTGGAGATTAGAAACTGGGCGGTAGTTCTTTAAATTGTTATGGTCTCTCGTATTGGTTTCTTTAGTAAAAGATTTACAATGGCAGTTTTGAAAAATGATTGGAATCCCTCAGATGAGAGAGAGAGAGAGAGAGAGAGAGAGAGAGAGAGAGAGAGAGAGAGAGAGAGAGAGAGAGAGAGAGAGAGAGAGAGAGAGAGAGAGAGAGAGAGAGAGAGAGAACAACAAGAATAAGCTTATGTCTCTCGTCGTTGATACTACCATTAATGCGGCTGGTATGATTAATGAAGGCAGGGATTCCAAACATTGAAACACTTTAACAAGTTTTATCAAACTAATAAATAATTTATTTCCTTGAATGCAATGTGAACATTTAAAAAGACCTTACAGTATCGTGAATTAAATTCCATATAGTCCTCAAAGTTTTATCACAAATCCAGACATTTTAAGTTCCAACTAAATTCCAGCGTTATTCCAAATATATTTCAAGATAGAACGTGTTGATGTGAATGCAGACTCGAACGTGCTAATGTGCCAATGGTCTGGAATGTGTCAATATGTTGAAAGTCTTTTGGTGTATCATAATAATATAGTCCAAAATGACCTTGTCTGAATTCATTATAATTCCAAATTAAGTTTTAGTTCACATATATTATTAAGCACTTTGCAATTACAGGGGAATAATAATTTGAATAAATAAGACCACATAAATTAAAAACTGAAGACATTAACAAGCCTGATTCTGATTGTGATGTTAAAGCAAGAATGAATAATATTACAAGTAAATAATATATAAAAGGCTAAGAAACAATAAAAAAAAAAGCCAGGATATAGATCGGTTTTCTTTCTAAAACATTAAAAGTTGCAATACGTTTAGGAATTTCCAAGCGAAAAGCTAATATCGTACAGTCCGATACAAGTAAACGTCTTTACTTCCATTTATAATGATCTTAATATTTAATCTAGAAGGGTTTTTTTGTTGTTGTTGTTGTTGTTGTTGTTGTTGTTGTCTCAGAGATCTTCATTATTTCTGTTCACTATGTAGTTTGGCGCCTGACAGTTCAAAAATAATTTGTATTTTGGAAAGAAAACAGATCAAATGAGTCAGTTGTTGTTCACATAGGAGATTGTTTAAGATAAGATAAGATAAGATAAGATAAGATAAGATAAGATAAGATAAGATAAGATAAGATAAGATAAGATAAGATAAGATAAGATAAGATAAGATAAGATAAGATAAGATAAGATAAGATAAGATAAGATAAGATAAGATAAGATAAGATAAGATAAGATATAATATGTTAAAATAAGATAAGAATTCTTTATTTGAGACTACACCGTCCATATATCTAAATTAAAATATAAATATAAAATAAAAACATTCTAGACATAAATGACCATATATATTTTTGTACAAGTATACATACACATCTACAAAATGGAATGTGTCCTGCATTGTTAAGAATGAAGTGAGGTAGCACATTTAAATAATAATTTGTTCTATCTACTAGAAATACGAGAATTTAAAGGAATGTCATAGTTCCACATAAATTTCAATATAGTTCTTACTAATAAATATTCTTGTCATCATTGAAAATGCATACTTTCTCATTACTTCATCAAAACTGAATAAATTATAATTTACAAACATGTTGATAGCACAGTTTCATCTTCAATGCCTACGATATATATATATATATATATATATATATATATATATATATATATATATATATATATATATATATATATATATATATATATATATATAATAATAATAATAATAATAATAATAATAATAAAATACAATTTACATTATGGATAGACAGCTCCCAGTGGCCTAAGTGGTTAGAGCATCCACCTTTGATGTGGGAGGTTGCAGGTTCAAACCCTAGCTGAGTCATACTAAAGATTTATAAAAATGGTAATAACAGCAGCTGCCATACTTGGCACTCAACATTAAGAAGTTAGTATTTGGAATGGTTAATGTGACTGAGTGGGATATGATGCTACTTGTCTGTGCATGATACCCCTGTGCTAATCATCACTATGAACTGCCACACTGCAGACATCATAGCAAAATGTTGCAGCTACATCAAAAATCAAACTCACACACACACACACACACACACACACACACACACACACACACACACACACACACACAGAATATTTATCCAGAAAGCTTTGATAATTTATTTCAGACATGATGATGTGATGGAACTGAAACCAAGAACAATATGGATGGACTTCCTATCAAAACAAAGAGAGAGTGGTGAAATAACATTCTTTAAATTAAAATACATCCACAAACATCCAAAAATCAATGATGTTTTGGAAATTGTTACCATTATAGGCGTAAAAGGATGTACCCTTTGATGCTCATAGTGCAAATGCAAACCCTTTCCCTGGGTGATAATTTTGAAAAGTGTACTTAATACCTTGATGCAATTCAGTCCGTTTTTAAGATATTCTACTTGTCATGAACCCACATGTCTATTGCTGTGCATCGCTAGCTCTGCTTCTTAGCAGACTGTTGATATTTTGCTGTCTATATACATGTGAATGATAAACAAGTGAAAACTACCACCATCATAGACAAATCAGGAAAATGACTCACATAAGATCAAGAGATCCTCAAGGGATGGACAGAAAACTACTCAGAATTGTACAATGACAAGATCCAAGGAGATCCAGCGGTACTAAATTGCCCTGAGGAAGAAGAAATCAATGACAACCTTATTCTTTGTGAAGAAGTAGAAACTGCAGTTAGGTCACTAAAGTAAGGAAAGTCAGCCAGCACTAAAACATACCAACAGAGCTCATTCAAGGAAAAGAGATAGTCCTAGTCCTAGCAACAATCTGCAACAAGATATGACAGAGAGGAGAATTGTCCACAACATGGGCTCAGTCCTTGGTTATCATGTTCCCCATGAAAGGAGACCTAAGGCTATGCCAAAACTACAGAATCATCAGTTTGATCAGTCACCTGAGCAAAGTCATGCTGAAGATAATTCTCAACAGACTAAAGCCTGAAGCGAGAAAATTATTCCAACTAGGAAGGAGTACCACAGAACAAATCTTCAAATCTCAGACTCTTTTGCAAGGCATACTTTTAGCATCAGCAGAATCTATACCACATTTTTACAGATTTCAGAAAGGGCTTTGATAGAGTATGGCAGGCAGCCTTATGGGCAACTATGAGGAAGCACAATATCAGCTCAAACCTGGTGCAGGTTGTTGAGTACCTCTATTACAAAGCCACCAGTGCTGTCCTCATCAATGGCAGCAGAGGAAATTGGTTTTGAACAACAGTTTAAGTCGGACAGGGATCTATACTGTCACTTACACTCTTCAACATTTTCCTAGAAAGGATTATGGAGGATACCTTCCGTGACCACAAGAGCACTCTCAGCATCAAATGGAGAACAATCACCAACCTTTGCTTATGATATTGATGGTTTACCAGGAGATGAACAAGAACTGGTCTAGTGCCTCAACACAACCTCCACAGCATACAGTATGGAAATTAATGCTGAAAAAAAAATAAACTGATGAAAACCAATGCCAATGGCATCAGTGCAGAAATAAAGGTCAATGGACAGAAGCTGGAAAGAGTCACAAGCTTCAAGTACTTGGGATCAATAATCATAGATAAGAACTCCAAACCACAACTACTTTTCTGGATTGCCCAGACAACAGCAGCAATAACAAGTTTGAGATCAATATGGAAAGATACCAAGATTACTTTTTGGTTCCAAAATAAGGCTGATGAGCTCAATTGTCATATCCATCTTTCTGTATGTTTGTGAAACATGGACATTCACATCAAATCTACAAAGAAAGATTCAAACCTTTAAAATGAGATGCTACTACGCGATCTTTGGCATCTCATACATTGACAATGTAACCAATGAAGAAGTCCACAAGAGGATCCAATGAGCCATCAGATCCTATGAAGACCTCTTGACCACTGTAATAAAGCACAAATTGAAGTGGTATGGTCATGTCTCAAGATCATCTAGACTGGCAAAAGCAGTCTTGCAAGGCACAGTGCGAGGGTGCAGAATGAAAAGCAGACAGAAAAAGAAGCTGGATGACAGCATTAAGGAGTGAACAGGCATGAGATTTGGAGATTCCCAAAGGGCAGTAGGCAAAAAGGGAAAGATGGAGAGAAATGGTTGTAAAGTCAACTGTGGTACCCCAATGACCTCATAGGTTAATTTCAATGTACATGCATTTATAAGTAAATGAAAACAAAGTAAATGAATAATATCCCGATTATGACACCAACATAAAACAGGACAACAGAAATCAGAAACACGGTAGAATATTGTCTCATAAATGCTCAAATTTGTCTTAAGATTCCGCTCAGGATTTTCTTGGTTTCTCTTTGGGTTTTTTTTTTACAAGGTTAAAAATGTTAAGGTATGGCCCTGATTTTCCCCACTGGCAATCCTTCTTGCAAAAGAAGGTAAGGTGAATATTTTATGAGAAGTTTAAAGAACATAGTTTCCTTATTTTGATATCCAAATGATGAAGTTCATTTTGGGTTTGGTAGATTGCACAGCTGGAGTGTATTTCAGATGTGCATCTTAGGAGATTGCTAGCTCTGAATGACCCTGTTCACTTTTTTGATTTTCTGAGGTAAATTATAGAAAAATAATGCAATAACTATTTTAATTTTAAAAATTATTGAAAAAAAATGTATAAGTGGACTTTCAGAAATAAAGTAATGCCAACATCTGTGAAAATGTGTATTTAAAGTCAAGTGATGATGGCATGTTCCATGCTATTGTACAGTATGCTTCCCAAGTACACAGAAGCTATCGGCACATTTTTTTCAGTCTACTGATAAAATATAACTGTCAATCCAGATGAAATAATGAAGGATTTTACCTTTTTGTATGGCGCTAAATAGCCACTTTGTGTTGGTGCGCCATAAAAATTCAACCGGCCAATCAACCGTAAATCCATATGTACATCATTTCAATACATCCTTTTATATTATTCACCATATTTCAAAATATCATTACATTGTCCTTGACTATGTCAGCTCTTCCTGCAGAAGCAACCTTTCCTCTTGCCAGCTTTCTGCGCAGTGTAGCTTGAAACACACCACACTGCAAATTCATCATAATCAGGGACCATTGTCATAATTTTTTAACATCATACAATTATTATGACGTAGTATGTGCCTAATAAGCTTTAAAATATGCAAAGACTCTGAGTAATGAAAAGATAGGCCTAAAGGAATTGTCTTATGTTCATAACATTGAAGTTATGCTTTTCTAGTTGGTCATGATTTCCAACACTTAATTAAAATAAATCTCAATTCCTTCTTCAGGTCGCTAATATTATCTTGATGTAGCAAAACTATTTTTATTCAATGTCCGGATTGATCAAACTTGATCAAAGGATATATTTTTAATTTTATTAGATATGTTGGTTTTTAAAAATGTATTGAAACCAACCTATTTACATGTACTTCCAAGGACATGTGCATACATTTATTATAATATGCATGGAGAAAAAAAAAACATCTTTTACATTTACATTCCCCTCATTATGGAATGTTTGTACCTCTGATTTAAATGATAATAATATTGAACTATAATGATTTTTCAATGATGAATTTTCCATATAAGAAATGTAATTTTCATATGAATGATTTATTTAAATGTTCATCACTTAGAGAAATGTTTCTGATGCCCATTTTATACATGATCGCATTGTAAACTGTCTTCACTTAACCTCTACTTTGAATGGAGAAATAAGCAGTTGTATCCATTTAATATTAAATACTTCATAAATTAATGAAATTGGTAATGTTCTGTTTTTATTCTTACAATTCATTGTGAAATGTATGTCATTCTTCTGTCTGAAATAGGTCAAAATTTGTGCTACTGTTTGTATTGGACATTGGTGTCCATTTGAGGATACTTCTGTTAATATTTTTCTGAATTCATCTATATTTTGTGTTACCTCAAATAATATATATTCATGAAAACAGTGTCAGTGAACTTCTTGAGTGGTCCTAAAACTGATAAATAGGAAGTAAATATGCATTTTTGGCAGTTGTGGTTCAGCTGGGTTCCAGTGAAGACAAACAAAAATCTCTCCTTCTGAATTTCAATAACTAAACGTTCTTTGAATATAACAGCAAGGTAGTCTACACATTACTTACACAACAAATTTTAAAAAATATATTAATCTCATACAGTAATACTGCCTGCTTAAATGTGCACACTCAACACTATCTACTTCGAGATAACACAGTTTAATTTGTTATTTTCTAATAATAACTTTGCCATTGAGACACACTTCCAGTACTGCTAATAATATTTCTCAGGTTGCTTCTTTTCCTCTTCATATGAGATAAAATGTTCCACACAATGATTTGACTGACGACACAATTAGCATCTTTTCTTCAACATAGTCATTAACCTTCCATTGCGATAGTCTAATCAATGAAACTTTTATATATTAATAGGCATTCTCATATTTCCTAGTTACATGTAATTACATTTATCATTTTGAAATCACATTTTCCACCCATTTTGTAGTTTTGGTTTAATTTTGAAAGTTAAAAATATTTAAATTATGTATACAACACAGTGACAGTTTGTATCATTAAAAAATGACAGTCTAATCCAATCATTGTGTGACACACTATTAACATCTGGTTCCAGACTGTGTCACCTTCATAGTTCCTATTTAAATATAGTTTTGAATCTTGAGTTGACTTAAAAGCTCCAGTACTACTTTGGTAAATTACATAACACATTGATGGGTAACCTCTAAATCATTTATGTCTCTGCAAGATTGGTTTGGAAATTATGTAGATTTGTCCTTGTGATGATGTGAATTGTAATTAATTTAGCTTTCAGGCTGATTTTTACC